CTGGTTCACTGTACAGTGAGTTGTTTCGACCACCTGAAAACGCAACACCATGAAAAATTTGCCGAACGGTCCCCGTCAACAGAAATACTTCCAAGTCAACCACTACAGCCGGAATAATTCACTGTGTTTTTAATTGAAGATGCCGGGTCTCCGTAAAAAAAAAATATCTTTAAAAAAAAAAAAAAAAAAGATATGGCGCTGTTTATCACCCCAGAGGCTAAAATGAGGTCTTAAGCCTCAGCAAGAAATGACAAGCTATGAGGTCCTGATTTCGGTACTAAGACTGGCATACGTCTTAAGGCTCCCCTAAGGCTGTTACGTAACGAATCTGCGGGGCCGCCGTAGGTACTTCAGCAACATCTAAAGCTCTGCCTAGTAGCGCGGGTCATAAGTCTCCAATTCTGGCCTTTCTGCTCCAAACCAATAATAAGCCCCACCTAGGCGGCCGAGGTCACTACAGTCTATAATTTTGCAGTTTGGCGGTCAGTGTTCAATCGTCCTAGAATGAGATGAAGGCCTGAAAAGTGATCGTTCAACCTTTAAATGGCTTAGGAAATGCGCAAAATTTATCCAAAAAGCCGATCCTCACAGTTATCTAGTGCCCAACGGTTATCTATTCCAAGTGGTACAGGGATGGAGCATCTTTGAGGTTACCAGTGGTTGTTCAAATCCGCTGTTTTTCGTGAAAACGCCAGAGTTCATCCCCTGGGGATACTATCTCTACTTACACTTCCATATTAATGCATTTTGCTTTGAGAGACTGTAAAGCGGCGTTACTTTTTTGACGAGTTTCTGTACGTTGGCCTGGTCGTCTTCGGAGATGCTCAAGTCCTGGGTGAGTCGGGCCAGTCGTAGCTGGTCCTTGGTTGCTCGAATTTTCTGTTCTGCTTCGCCTTTTCCGCCCATTTCTGCTGTTGTCGTCTCTCTGTCTGTCTGTCGGTGTATGTATGTGTATGTATGTATGTAGGCAAAATACAGCAGCAACTAGAATACAGTCTGCAAAAAAACATCCTTAGTTATGCGCGAAATAACGATTTCAACTATCACTGAACGACGCAGAGACATTCCTTCGAAAACGAATAACGCTTAATTGGTAGGGGGAAATAATCTTCTAGTAGTGGCATGGTAAAAAATACCCAAATTCCCGAGGGCACCCCTCGGAAATTCTAAAGCCTTGCCATGGCATTTCTGTTGAACTTGTGGCTTCTTCGGGGGACACTGACGCAGGCATCCCTTCAATAAGTGCGATACTTGGTAAGGGAAAATGTGGCTGTGGCATTCGTAATACCCAAAAGACACCCCCACCCAAAAAATCTCGGAACTTCT